AAAAAAAAAAAAAAAAAAAAAAGAGATTGAAGGTTGTATATTTTAAGCATTTTTAAAAATGTTGTATCGTGTAAACAATACAATCTAAAGTTCCCATAGGTATACTAACTCCTCATATGGTGATTTATATAGTCTTCAAAATTTAAGTTGTTAAACAATTATTGGTCTTGTATTTAAATATCACTCAAAATTACACTTTCTCTTCAGTGTTAAACTCAGGGCATCAAAATCTTCCTCAATTAAATGCTTAATATTCTTTTTTAACTCAATCCAACGACATGGAGAAGAACCATAATCACCAAATCCACCCTAGTGATCCAGAAGCCTAAAGATAATCATGGCATCATTTGTCCACTCTATGTCCATGTTAGACCAATATTAGGCGACTCCTCAGATGGCTCATATTGAGTTTTCCACGTGATCTCATATCGGCATGAGGTAATTAACGGCTCTAACATCAACTACATTAATTAAGAAATAATGTTGCAAGACTTTGAATCTAAAAACTTTCACTTGGATGAGTTTAGCATCACTCCTTACTTATATTGGATGAGACTTGATATAGTTGATATGTTAAATTAGGGCAGTGGAAATGAATCCATCAGTTACCACTTAACAGGCGGAGGAATAGCAGAGAAATGGGTCCCAAACCAAAGGAGATGCTGCCGGAAAGAAGCTCAAGGAGGTAAAGAAAAGGGGGAAAAAGAGTAACGAGTCAACAACATTACCTTCACTCAAAGCTGCTAGCTTTTCCCTTCCTCTTTATACTTTGTTTCGAGTTCTTTGAGACCAAATAGTATTAAAGCACAAACCTAGCTTGATCCATAACATGAAAAAAAAAAAAAAAAAAAAAGAAAGAAAGAAAACCATCTCAGAGGGTAAAACTCTAAGAGAAAAATCCTAAAAGGCCCTCAAACTTCTTTGCTGTTGGCAATTGAACTTTTGCGTACGTACGCAATGATTTAGTGCATAGTTTTTTGGGGTAGATGATTAGAGTATTCTCGGGCTATTTTATAAGTTTCTTGATATTAATATTTTCTTAGACAATATTTTTTAGACCTATGACCTGCAGCTTGGTTCAATTATCATAAATTTTATTTTATTTTTTTTAAAAAAAAGAGATAAAGAAGTTGACTCACAAGTAACATGTACCACTACTAGAAAACTCAAAATCACCAACTCATAATCACCGACGTAAGAAGTTTTTTCGGTAAACTATCCCCTTACCGACAAGATAGACGTCTGCAAATAAAGGAACAGTAAAAATAAGAATAATCTATATTATTTAAGGTACAGACAAAATTTTTCTTGGTAAATTTGCATAATACACACCTGCCCTTCGTCGGTAATATGTTGCAATGTACACTCTGGCAACAAGCGGACCAATAAACAAATCAACGACAAAGATCATGCCTGTAACTAATTCAATTTGCAACAGGATTCATCTCGGTGAATTTACCGACAAAGACTTCGTTGGTAAATTCACAGTTCCCAACCCTCCACAGTGAATCCGGCTACCAATGGTTGGGCTTGTAGCTTTTGGTACACTTACCAACAAAATTCTAGTCTGTAATTTCATATTGCTAACCATACACTTTTTGGTTATCACGTTGGTCAACCTACATGTCGTAGCTTTGCAGAGAAGATCAGCTTTTAATGGTAGCAATGTAGTTTTCATCGGTAAGGGGTACCTTTTACCACCCCAGACCCTCTTGCCCTTTCATTTTGGTCTTCCTCTTTAAGCATCTTGCTTTCCTTTCCTATGTTCTTCCATTCATATAAATTCTTCTTGGTCTTCCTCTTCCAACAGCAAGTAGTGTTTGATTTCCTTTCCTCCATTCTTTCCTTCGAATCACTCTAGCATTTTGCTTCTTACAGTGTGTGAGTCCTTGTTCGATAGCTAGATCTGTTGTGTGTGAGTCCTTGTTCAATAGCTAGATCTAAATTTTTCTACCCAGATAAAATAATAACACTTTTGAATATTCGACCATAAAGCAATCTCCATGTACTCCAAGGCAGTTTGCTCCATTGGACCATTTCAAAACATGATAAGCACAACATTTCCAAAATATTTCCTCCAACAAATTCAATTTTGTATCTTGTAATTAACTACTCCACTTATAAGCAATGGTAAGTGTTATTTACCTAGTTTTATTATTTTATATATAAATTTAAATATTTGATATATATTTTATTTTTCTTAAATTTAAGCTATCAAATATTGTCTTTAGTTCATTGGATATTAATTTTGTGAGATTGTTGTTTTAGCTAAATTTTTTGGATAATTATTAGTATTTTTTGATAATTTTTTAATTGTAAAATTTTAATATTAAGTGTTTGAAATTAACATTATGAGATTTATTGGTTTGAGTAAATTTTAAATTAAATATGAATTTTGGTTTGTTGAATTTTTTACATAATTTTCATGCTAGTAAATTTGGCGGGATTGGAAAATTTTTGCACATTTTGGATTCCCGCGTGCAACCAACATTACGATGTGCATTTTGTCGGTAAAATAAACTCTGACAAGAACCACATTGGTAAAATACTCTATATGTTACCACAACACTCTAACTTGCTTAGTTCTTCTTTCTTTCTTTTTGTCCTTCTTCTTCGTTTTTCTTCTCCTCCCTTCTTTGTTCCCCCTCTTCTCTTCCATTATTCAGATGCTGCTAGATTAGATGTATTATGTTTATAATTATATTATATTCATATAATTTTAGGTTTGCATCTTCTCAATTTCCTCTTTTTTTCTCTTCCATTCTTCTCTTTATGTGATTAAACACTAATTTGTATTATTAATCAATTTAATTTGCAATTCTAACTTTTTTAAAATTTTGTTTTCCAAGAAACATTGTTGGGAGAGACAATGGTATGGTTAAATCAATTGTATTTATGTAAACCACCATTTAACTTCATTTCTATTTTGATTATTATTATTTGGTTGAAATAATTATATATAAATAATAACTTAATTTATGTTTTTTTTTTT